ATGTCTTGAAATTCATGTCTTTAAACATATTGCAGAAAAAATAATTATTTTACTTTCATAAATCTGAAGGAAATTCACTGTTAATTTAATCTAGAATATATTATGTATGCAAAAACACTATAACACTAAATATTTCTTTGAGTATAAATCATTGTGGGGAATGAGAATCTTATATCCTTCAAGAAGTTTAAATTTTTGTCATTGTTAGTTAAAAAAGAAAAATATGTTTACCAATGTTATGGCTGTAAAGTAGTTTTTATTATCCACTTGTGTTTATTTTAAATCTGTTAAGGCAGTTTGATTTTTACCATTTAAAAATGAGATTCTTTTGATGGCATTACTGTTCTTTCCTGTAGCATCATTAAACAACAGCACATAAATATGGGATGATGAATTCTTTTTACATGTCCACCTCTGAGCATTTGCCAAGCACTCTCAGATGTAATTAGTTTATTTTTTCTTTTATTAAGTGTGTTTTCCTTTCAGTTTTCAAAGTTTATAGTCGCAGAATAATTTCTTTGTTATCAAAGTTTTCAAAAAAATATAATCACATCAAATCTATTAAAGTGAAATTATTATTAACCTTTTTTCTAGACTCTTGATGAGGGTCACCCCTAGTAACACATTATCAAGAAAAATATGTTTTCCCCCTTAACCCTGTAGAAGTATAAATAACATGGAAGTTTTTGTACAACAGATAAAAACTGAGATAAATTTCCATGATATCATGATTCTTTGTTCTGTTTCATCATCTAATTAATACATACTAATTTACAGTTGTTTTCCTTAAAATATTCTTTCTTCAACTTATGTTCCCTTTCTATTAATGTAATAGTTTTAATTATATTGTAATATATCGATGTAGACTTATGGTTGAGATCTAAATTGCTTTAATTTGTAATATAAGAATAGATGGATTTTCTTATTATATATATTAATATTTCCCCTTCTCCACAATACTTAATTATGATTTGTATTACATTAGAATTATGTATATTGTATCATTGCTGTTGTGAATATATTATATGAATTTTAAAAATAAACTATTTAAACGTGCCACTCATTTAAAGTATTCTTCTGTAATGAGGCTAGCTTTGCATGTCACTCTCACTTGACCTTGGTTCAAAATTATGTGGTCCGTCGCTGAAAGCCCTCGTGTAGCTAAACAGTGTGATGTTAATAATCAATGAATTGCGTGTTCCTCATCCCACAAGAGTATTATCTTTTCAATTGTGGCTTGAATTGCTCTATATAAGTAAGTTAGAGACCTGTATTTGTCACACCTAAACTCCTCCAGATATGCATTAAATTTTAACTGCCAAAAAACTGTTGTCAGAGAAACCTAATATGTAGTTTTTATATCACTTATGTTTATGTTGTACTTAAATTATAGAAGAAATTGTGATATCTCTGCGAGAGGATACATTTTGGTAATTTGTGGAGAATTTTGTTTTAGTCATTTTATTTGTTTTTTTTAATCTTATCAGATTTATAATGATATATATTAAATGTTTGGCATGCATAATTCCTTTTCTTAATCTGAGTTTCTTTGCTGTTTCATTTTGTAATCATATAATTAATTTAATTGTTATACTTGAATTTTCTTACTATATTATTTTTCAAAAATAGCATTGTCAATCAGATTTTTTTTTTTTTATTATAGTACTTCACTGTGTGGTATTGAATATAAGGTATTAGCATTAAGTTATATTAGTGATAACTGATTAAAGCAATGTTGTTTTTATCGTATTTTTTCCCCTGATATGTTTTCATCAGTATAAATATGTTTTAGTGAATTTAAATCATTTTTTCTCCCAAATTTAGAATCCATTTTTCTACAATTTAATATGTTAAAAAAGTTAATATAATTGAGAGGCATTTAAATAATGTACATTTTCCTTCACAGTAGTATATATATATAAATATTATTATAGAATTTAATTTAAACATAATAATTGATTTTTCATTAATAATATACTTTCATTGAAAAACTTAAAAATGGCCAAATGCTGGAAAGATCTTGGCTATGTTATTCAACAGGTGTTGATAGTGCTTTTTGTTTGACCATAAAACTTTTTTTAAAAATAAATTCTCAATACACAGCCGGTTTTTCTGTTTGGAAACACGTAACAAGTTGTATAGAAAATCATGAAAATTCTATTGAACATAAAAATTCAATGTTAGTTTGGTTGACAGAAAAAGAAAATAAGTCTTTTTTAGATAAACAGTCAAAGGAGCAACTAAGAAAAGATACAGAATATTACCACATTGTCCTCAAACGTGTTGCTGCGGTAGTAAAGTATTTGGCTATAAGAGGTTTAGCATTTAGAGGTACCGAGGAAGTTTTTGGTTCTCCTCATAATGGTAATTTTATGGGTGCCCTGGTACTACTAGCAGAGTTCGACCCATTCATTTATGAACATATTGAACAGCGAGAATTATGACCAAAATCGTTAATATCGTACTAACCAAAAACAATAGATGATCAAATAATTGAGATCACTGGCAAGCACAAAACATTAAAACAATTACAACTCAAGTAAATAACGATGACACAATATTATTCAATTGCGATGGATTCAACACCAGATTTGCCCCACAATGACCAACTTGCTTTTATACTACGGTATTGTTTTCGGGGAAAAGTGTATGCAAAATGTGTCTCATTAGTTAAGATTAGTAGTCACACTGGCTTATACTGATTTAATTCTCTACAAGAAGTTTTAGAAACAAATGGACTGCTATTATATAATTGTAGGGGACAGTCATTTGACAACGCTGCCAATATGTCCGGTCGATAGAATAGTGTGCAAGCTGTTCTAAAAGAAAAAAATAAATTTGCTAATTATGTGCAAATTATTTATTATTGCTACGCATTCTCTTAATCTGGTTGATGCAGAATGAGTTAAGGTTGTAACTGAAATCGTGAACTCTTTTGGTTTAGCACAACAAATATGTTTTCTTTTCTACTTCGACCCATAGGTGGGAACTTCTAAATCGTGAAATTAAACTGAATTTACCTTAAAAAGTTTAAATCAAACCAGATGGTCTTGTCACTACGATGCTGTTGATGCCTTAAAAGGTAATTATGGTAATATCCTGAAAATTCTTAAGATATCTAGGGACAATTAAAATGAGAAAACTGATTTTCGAAAAGATGCAGTAAATTTAATACATATTTTTTAAATACATTAACGAAACTCAAAACTGCCATTTTAATTACATTTTGGGGAGAAATTTTGAAAAGATTTAATTCAGTTAAGAAAAAAATTATAGAGACTCCTGGTTTTGACATCTATGAAGGGAATGTTAATTATGTCTTAAGAAATGTTTATAAGGAATGTACGACATGAATCAGATCAAAAACTAAAGGAATATCAAGACACAGCCAAAAAAATTAATAGAATATAATGATGCGAATAAGAGAAGGGTTATTTCAAAATTTGGATAAATCCACAGAAAAAGCTGCGTATGGGACAGAAAAATTTAAAAGACATGCTTATTGTTGCGTTAGGTAAGCTAATTCTTGACTTAAATACAAAAAGTCAAGTATATGCAAAATGCAGTAAGGAATTTAAATTTTTGATGGATTTACAAGATCAATGTAAGGAGAAAGTCGACCTGGAGAGTGTACGCGCTATTATTGATTACTATTCAGATGACATAGACCAAACATTTAGTAAATGAAGGTGTTCGATTCAAAACTTATCTCAAACAAGCTGAGCTAGAGTCCTATACCTGTAGTGATATAATGAATTTAATTTTTGAAAAGAAATTTGTGGACGTTTTTCGAAATTTGTCAACCATTTTAAAGATTTTTATAACGCTCCCTATTACTGGTTATGAAGCGGAGCGTGTGTTCCCTAAAATGTCCTATATAGAAAACAAACATAGGACAACAATGACAAATACTAGGCTTAATTATTTATCACTTCTTTCTATTAATACTGATCTCACCAAAGGCTTAAAATGTGATCAGCAAATAAAACAATTTACAGCACAAAAGTGTAGAAAAGTTTTTTTTGTAAATTGTGTTATTGTTTATAACATATTTAAATCGTTTGAAATAATAAAAAAAAAAATTCAAAAAAACCCCTTAAGTTTCGTATAATTTAAATTTTCCCGCACAAAATTTTTTTTAGGAAAATGGCAAAAATTTCACTTATTTAGGGGCCACCCAGATATCATTAGCCCAGGGCCCCCAAAGGTCACGGTCCGGCCCTGGTCGTGGGGTTGTGATGGTAAGGAATTGAGTAATAGAAATTAGTAGATAAATTCGCTATGGAGTGTGGATGTTCAACACAAAGTTCTTCATGAAGTACTGCTCTTGGAATGAATATGGGAACTTTGGCAATCACAAGGAGTGCTTTGTTTTGGAGTCTTCGAAGGGCGTTCAGGTGGTTGTTGGCTGTGGATCCCCAGATGGCACACACATAGGTTAGAATTGGGCGGAGATATGTTTTATAGATGAAAAGTCTATTTTTGATGGAGATTTTTTTGGGGGGGCGTTAGAAATAGGATGAGGGTGAATTTTTACGATGCGCGCGCAAACCGTCACGGATGGGAAATTCTTTTGTCTAAAAATATACAGAACGGGACAGATCATTGCCACCTTCAAAATTTTCAGTAAAATATTTCTATTCACTTCCCTGGAGAAGGGGAGACCTCTCAATCTGTGGTCGAACACTTTACCACTGAACTATACACCCCGTGTCAGCGAATCTTTGCTTTGCGTTCCGTAGGAACGCATACTAAAATGCTTTGATTAGAATTATACAGAACGGGACAAATCATTCCCGCCTTCGAAATTCTCAAAAAAAATTCTTTCTCTTCACTTGCCTGAAGAAGACACCTGGGTTTGAACCGAGGACCTCTTGATCTTCAGTCAAATGCTCAACCTCTGAGCTATAGCCCCGCGTAATCTAAGCCTTTGCTTTGCGTTCCTTAGGAACGAATACGAAAATGCTTTGTCTAGAAATATGCAGAACGGGACAGATCGTTCCCTGAAGAAGGGGGGCACCTTGGTTTGAACAAGGGATCTCTCAATTAGCAATTGAATGCTGCACCACTGAGCTATAGCAAGGCCATCTTTAAGGACCAGATAGCCTCGGCTATAGCCCCCGTGTCTGCGAACCTTTGCTTTGCGCTGATTTGTGACGTCACTACTAGTAGGGAGAGCTCGTCCTTCGTCTACGGAGCTTCTCTGATGCATTTGTTTGAACACTTTTTGTTATTAAACCAAACATACTTACAGGAAATTTTAAAAAAATTAGTAAATTAATCTTTAAATTGTGTTTCATGTACATAAAATATAAGAGTTAATATTAGTATACCTATTTAAATAACAATTGCAAGTGTATGATTATAGATGTATTTACTACGAACGCATTGCGATGAACATAAACATAATTATATTACATTGTAGCAAATTATAAGAGCCTTTTGTATTCGTATATTTATTTTTGAAGTTATCCTTTTTTTTGTCGTTAGGGAAAAAGGATGAGGGTAAATTTTTGCGATGCACGCGCACGCATACTTTCACGACACCGATGCGCGGGCGCACACCGTGTGACGGGCTCACGCGTCTTTTCTTTAACATAACCTCTGGGTTCTTTGACGGCCAAGATTAATGGCAACACTTTTCCAACCAAAATCCAAGAAGCGAATAAGATAGCTTTTAAAAGAACAAAAGTTTCAGTAAGCAGGATGGCAATTTGATGAATGTTATGTTTGGAGGAGATGCAAGCGTGAATTGACAGCCTATCGAAAAGTTACCTAGAAACTCAACCATTACTACAAGGTGCATACCATTGCACACGCGCCCAAAAGTTTCCATTTAAAGATTGAAATAAGGTAGGACTGATTATTTGATATTAGGTAATATTAGAAGTGAGAATAGGCCGATAATATAATTTAGGGAAAGTGGTCTAAATTACGTGATTCGGTTTAACCATTTTTGTGTGTTCGTTCATTCTAGATTCTCATTTATATAAATTTATCTAAATTGTTAGACGTTTAAGTTATATTCTTAATAAAGTTATATTAAGAATTTAAAATGTCTGTTTATTCCGAGAATCCCACACCTCTTGCTCACGCTGACAATCAAGTATATGGTCACCAAAGGGGGGAGGGTGTAACGTCGTGAGTAGTTAGCAAACAAGAAATTTTGTCACAGCCTCATTTTAAAATTAAAGCAGTATTTATTTGCTTCATAGGTTACTAGAAAGTCCATTTCACGGGAGTTCAATCCTTATTCCGAAAGGCACTCGCTAATCCCTTTTCTTTTCAGGGCTCCTCTCCAGTTTACTCCATCCAGGGCTCTACATCAAGTTTTCCATTCAGGGCTCTATCTGTCTCACTCCAGGGCTCGATCTCTCGGTTTTCCTTCTCCTCAAAATCAACCCCTTTTTAACCACAACACGCCCTTCGTCTTCCTCATTGGCAGGCCAAAAAAAAGGTCTGCCCTCGTCCCCGGGCCACATTCGTCTCCCATTTGTGCGGCAAACACAAACACATTCCTGGTCTGTCTGGAATCTAAGGGCGCCATAATTCTCATCTAACTTCTGAAACTCTTATTCATCACACCACCTGGGTTTTATAACCCCATTCTCTCGGCACCGGCTCTCTTTGGTTATTGTAACTTCCAGAATGGATGTCGGCTTTTGTCCGAGATCAGACAATACACAATGACCCCATAGCCACGTGCTCTTGTCACCTAACGTCTGTTTGGAGCCATAAAACTTCGCATGAATAGAAAGGTGAGGCTCACCCCAATCGAAGACGTCACAGGGGCCATATCACAACCGTTGTTTAATATTTAAACATGCCAATTTTGGTGCTATGGGACTGATATTTGGGGGATCATAAGAACTATTGTTATAAGCCATATCTGTTGGAACGCATTCCCCCCCTTTACAGCTTTTTGGCCAATATCTCGGCACCCGGGCCTCACAGTCCATTAGGACCTCGGTCATTCAATCCCGCTCTATCTGCTCTTCCAGTTATTATAATTTCATGCTCATAGGGCTATTTTTTCTATAGTTTTTAATTGTCTTAAACATTTTAAATTTGTTTAAATTCACAACATCTTGGCTCCTGTTCGAATCTCGGACTTGAGATTTGAACCACGTTTTCCACTCGTCGAGACCCATCCAGTCATCTGCTTTATTCCCATTGTGTAGGTCTGGGGAGGGCTTAAGCACTAAAATATCATGCTCCCATGTTAATCCTATGGGGACTGAAAAACATTTCACCTCCCTAAGGAATTGAGCTTGGGACTTGATTTTTTGAGGACCGGCGTATTTTCTTTTTAGCGCGAGCTTTACGTGGAATTGGTGCCCTTCCCCCTACCCCAGAAATAACTCGCATCCTATGCCACCTTGGTCGACCGCACCTACTGCATTCGATTGTTCTTTCTATGAGCATCCTAGACAAGTTTTTTCAGGACCATAGCCCCATTTCTTCACCCATATTTAACATTTTTAAATTATTTTAAAGTTATAATTTTTTTTAAATCCCGCACAGCTTCGAGAACTTTTGAGATTCGTTAAAGAAACTCGGACTATAGGTTTTCCTCGTTGAGCTGTTTCATCTGTTACAATTAGTGTGTAGATAGTGGGCTTAGGGGTGGGCGTTATCACTAAAATTAGAATCCACATGTTTTCTTATGGGGTTCGATCTTTTGATGACGTAACGATATTACAGAGATAGAAGGATGAAACTTTGGGATCACCTACTACTCTGTATATCGTTGGGATGTACGTGACCATTTACGTCACAGTTGTTCCCCTCCGCGGGGAGTTAATTACGCTTTTCTTTCCCGAGCTAGCCCCGCCCCATTTGCAACTACAGACTCCAGACCGGTTCTAATGGATTCCTTTTGTGTTTTCACACACCCAGGGCCAGTTTCGAGTTTCTGGGTGCCCTGCTTCTATTTTATTTAAGTGTTTTAATTATTTTAAAATGACCATCAGTCGGATGTCTTAATTTTCTCAGGAACGATTCTTCCCACCGAGTCATTCAATATGAGGTCTCAGATGTCACATTCGGTTCACTTCATCTCCAGATACAGTCTGGAACCCCATGTTATTGGTCCTATTGTCCCTGTGCGGTGGTGTTTAAATTTAGTTTAATCGTGATTATGTTAGGTTTAGCTGGTCCGATTGACTGAAGGTTAGTATCGTTCAACTCTGCTCGTGACCGCCTTTCGTCTTTAACCCAGTTTGCCTTGCTAAAGATTTTTAGAAAGATTTTAATCTTGTTACGCCAAAGAAGTACAACTTCTTACGTGGGTACATAAGCGTACCCATACTTTTTTTTTTTTGATTTATGTGATTCTGTATATTGATTGAATGTAATTCAACGAGGGAGGATGTTCAGTCCGTAATTCTATCTACACTGGTGTGCAAAACTTAAGCAACAGGTGGGTTTATTGCCATAACTTCACGAAAAATCATCTGAGAGACATGAAATTCTGAAATGAGGGAGAGTATTATGTACGTAAAGGATGACGAAAGCATCGGCGCTGAAAAAGGAATACAACGCATACGGTATGGAATCAAACAAAATCAAGCTTTATTGAACGCATAGTATCGTGACTCATGATTGTCTATCCAACAGGAAGAACAACAAGCAGATGTTCCTTAATATGGTATATGCCCTCCCCTTACTACAATGGTTGCTTTGCACCGTCTCCGCATACTCAGAACCAGCTGGTGCAACATTTCTTGAGGTAGAAGTGCCCATTCCTCAATCAACATCTGTTTGAGTTGTTGGTTGTACTCGGATGATGTGAGCGTGTGGCAATACGTCTCCCAAAGCATCCCACACATGTTCGATGGGATTTAAATCTGGGAGCACGCTGGCCAATCCATTCGAGTGATATCTTCACTTTCCAGCAGCTCCTCAACAGCAAGAGTGCGATGTGGCAGTGCATTGTCATCCATAAAGATGAAGTCTGGGCCAATGGCACCTCGGAAAGATGCCGATGGGGAAGAAGTACCTCCTCACAATAGCGATCCCCGGTTACAGACCCTCTGTCGAAAATGGGAAGCTCAGTTCCGCCGTTCAGCATAATGCCAGCAGACAAGAACTCCAGGACCACCATAACGATGTCTTTCCTTGATGTTACTGGGATAAAACCGGGTCCCGATCTCTCTCCAAATCAAAACGCGTTGAGAATCGCTTCTGGTACTGAACCGTCTCTCATCCGTAAAGAGAACACGACTCCATTGATCAGTTGTCCAGTTTTTGTGCTCTCTGTCCACTGTAAACGGTGGCTTCGGTGGCCATCTTTCAACGGGAGGCAGCGTTCAGGACGGCGGGTGAACAGGCCTCCTTTGTGAAGGCGTCTGGCCACAGTAAACCGCTACACTTGTCGACCTGTTGCTGTACAGAGTTTCTGAGAAATGGCGCTTGCTGACTGCTGTCGAACTTTTTTCGCCTGCAGGATGATATATCGGTCATCCCCTGCAGTTGTCCTCGGGCGGCCACACCAACCTTTCTAACAGCTGTACCTGTGGTTTGGAACGCTTTCAAGCGCGCGAAACGACACTTTGTTGATTCGAACTCTGCAGCTACACTGGTGACAGTACGCCCCTCCTCCAGCTTTCCGATCATTCTTCCACGTGTGAAGTCATCCAGATGATTTCTTCTAGCCATATTTCACGAACTGACTCACTGGCACTTGCAGAGAATATGGTGAATTGCGTCTCCGTCCTTCATTTCATTCTACTGTTGAGCAGCGCGCGCCGACATCACGCGTTTTGCGTACGCTCACATCGCTTCTGACGTTTTGTTCCTGATATTTGCATACGCATGACGTTTCTACTGACTTACGTGTTCCCTCTACTGATCTCCAGACCTCCTTTTCTGCAATTTCATGGCTATCTGCTAAATTTTTACATTGTTGCTTAAGTTTTGCACACCAGTGTATTTTTGTCGCGAATGCCATCCGCCGACTGAGCACCTCCGCCAATGTTTTGATGTAACCCTCCGCTTCAGTTGTTGTTGTAACTTCCATCTTAGAAAAGCGTGCGAATAGCACCATCTCGAAATAAATCAATTTACAGTCCAAAAGTAGCAT